AGAAAAAATACTTCGGATAGAGAGAAAAGTTACCTCGGATATACCCACCAGATAACTAGATAACCAGAGAAAAGTTACTTCGGATATACTCGAATATACCCAACATATAACCCAATAAAAAAGAATTATTAAACAGATAACCAGAGAAAAATTACTTCGAATATACTCGGATATACCCAACATATACCCAACTCGATTTTGTAAATATACCTTCAAAATCATGAACAAAAAGAATCGTTCAAAATCATGAATAAACATACCTTATACATATACGCACACAAAAGTAATCATGAATAAAAAGAATCGTTCAAAATTTCAATCACGAAAAATCAAAACGAGGAAATAATCATTGGGTAACATAATCATCAGTGTCACCAAATATCTACTGGAAATGCCTTCTTGATTTATTCATAATATATCAAGTCATCAAACCATGAGACCATCTTCTTCATCTAAGGCTTCATTCTTGTGAATATCAGGCTAGAAAACAGTCTTAGCCTATCAAGAACCCACATGTCGATATTCAACAGTAGCAAGTTAATAACAAGACAAGGCTATCGCCGGGAAAAATCAATCACACAAATCGAGAGAATATGATCATAGGGAAAAAATCCATCACAAAAATCAATCCAGCAGATGGATTTTTTTTACGGGTCGAGTCAAAATACGTGGGCAAAAGCTTTTGGGAAATTTTCAATCTCAACGGCTCGGATTCTGATCTGCCGCTGCTCTTATCGCCGTCGGTTAAGTGGCTCCGATCAGCGAAAGTTTTCACTAAATCACCTTCGTCGTCTTCAAAAAATCACAAGCTTTTGGTTTCTTCATGACAGAGCAAGTTTGTTGGCCCATAGTCAAAGCCGTTCCGTCTTTGGGTGAACGTGCGTTCTTAGAGAGATAAAGAGATAATTAAGTCATCCTATTTATTTGGGAAGTAAATCTCACCATATCAGGTATATTTGCAATATTTTGTAGATTTTTAGGCTGTTTTATAAATAAAAATAAAAAAGTAACAAAAGTGTTATATAAATTATATAGGATAGTATGAGATGTAAATTCCTCGAAAATAAACTACCAGGTTGGTATTTCTACCACTAGACCATTGGTGGGTGTAGGGTTTGTAAACGAGTCGAGCAGCTCACGAGTCGCTCGAGTCAATGCTCGACTCGAGCTCGAGCAGTTCAATCGAGCAACCGAGTCGAGCATCGAGCATCATTTCAAACAGCTCATAAACTTGACGAGCCGCTCGACTTTTTATTTACATATATACCTCATATAGTTTAATTATCAATATTAAAACATCAAGGCTAAAATTGTCTATTTAGATTAAAAATAGTACCTTTATACTTAAATATTTAGTTTTTAAAATTTCGATCCGAACTCAAGTCATGTCCAGCATCAAGTTAAGATCGAACATGCTTATATTTTTCGCGAGTCGAGGTCGAGCTCGAGCAGTTAATAAGAAAGTTCAATATGCGCTCGACTCGACTCTACTCATTTGCAGCCTACACTGGTGCTTTAGATGCATCCAACATGATACATCGATACTGATACTTAAGTTCTCTAAAAAAAAAATACACACACTATGACACTACAAACATGCAGTACACTACCAGCACCAGCATCTTATAAAGAAACTATACTTCCCAGAATAAACCATCTCCACATTCACCTCATCAACATATTACACACACAAAAACCACAACTAGAAACAAAACAAAAAACAATCAAGAATCACCTGGCCTCATCTTCGACTCAACGCCCGTCCACAATGGTACTATCGCTCCAAGAAATCGATATAGAAGATTTCGCTCCTCGTCTAATCTCCGAGAACGCCGGATAAGAACCCGAACCCGAACCAAAACCATCACCAAGTCCCCTCAACCTCTCCAATAGATGAACATTCATCCCTTCCTCCTCATGTTCACTCTTCCCCTCGAAAAATTTCACCACCTGCCTCATAGAAGGCCGGGCATTCGGATCCGGATGAGCACACAACAAACCCAAATGAATCACCTTCTCAACTTCCTCTCCATTCCTTAACCGTGGTTTGTCCTTAACCGCGGTTAGCAACTCATCCTTCTTCAAAAGCTCCCACACCCAATCCACTAGCGGCGGCTGGCCTTCATCCACCGGCCTCCGGCCAAAGATAACTTCTAGAATCAAAACCCCGTAACTGAAAACATCGGTTTTTGTCGAGGCCCGGCCATTCTTGGCGAACTCA